TTTCCTTTTTCTCTGTTTGTCTCCAAAGTATCACTGTGCAAAAATTATATTGAAAATCTATGGAAATTTTTAAGCCACCAAATATGTCTTTGCTAGTTGAAGCAGGTAATGCACATGAAGTCAATAACACAAGCATGTTAAAACTATTCAAATTGTATTAAATATTCTACAACCTACAGTCTTAATAACTTATTGATTTACTTTAAGCTATAAAAAAATGATTAATATTCTATAGTTCTGCATTGCAGTTTTTCTGTAGAGTTTCCACACAGTGGTAAACACGAAGACTCAGCAGAAGTTTTAAAACTGTTTTAAACTAAAGGATTTGTTCTGCCTCTACATAATTATGTGTGATTATCCTAACTTTAATGTCATCAATCTCTTGCACTGCCATCATGTATTGTATTCAAATCATAAAAGTTTTGAATTACAAATTAAATTTCAGGATTTAAACAAATGTGTTTAAATGTTTTGAGTCTCCAAGGTGTATTTTGCAGGATTATAAATGAACAGAAAACCAGATAGGTTAAAATTCATTGCATAGTTGGACTTGGAAGGTTGTGGTTAATGGCGTGGACTCAGACCATGACTGAAAGTGCAGTATTGCAGGGGCCTATCCTGTGATCTTTATCAATGATCCATGAAGAGGTGACAGTGCATGATCACATCAAGTTTGCAGATTACACCAAGTTGGGGGCACCAGATGGTAGGCTCAATGGTAGAACTGACACCCAGAGGGACGTAGGCAGACTGAGGAACTGACTAACTGGACCTTATGAAGCTCAACAAGGGCAAATGCAAAGCCCTACACCTGCAAAGGAAGAGCAAGATAAGCTGGTCACTGCCAGGTTAGAGAGCAGCTCTGTGGAGAAGGCCATGTGGCAGTGAGCTGGGCAGAAGCTGGCTATTAGCACTGGCAACAAAGGCAGTCAACAGTGTCCAAGGCTGTGTGAAGAGAAGAGCAGCTGGTGGCACAAGGGAAGGGGTTATTCCTCTCTAGTCATCACTTGCTAGATTACAGATAGACCCTACATGCAGTTGTGAGCCCCCAGTATAAGAAAGATATTAATAACCTGGAAGGACTTAAGCACAAGGCTGCCAAGATGCTTGGGATCTGGAGCACTTGCCCTATGAGGAGATGCTGAGGGTCCAGGGTTTGCTCAGTTGGAGAAGAGGTTGCTCCTTCAGGAGGACCGAGCAGCAGCTCCCAGTTCTTATAGGGAGGGCAACAAGAAGAGGGAGCCAGACTCTTCACAGGGGTGCTTGACAAGAGAATACAAGGCAATAAGCATAAGCTGAAGAAACAGAGAATCAGACGGGGAAATAAATTTTTCACAGTGTGGACAGCCAAGCATTGGAGAAAGTTTTTCAGAGGGGCTGTGCTGTCTCCATTCTTGGAGGTTTTCAAGACTAGACTGGATAAAGACCTGAGCAACCCTGATCCGACTTCATATCCGACCCTGCTTTGAGCAGAAAGTTGAACTGGAGACTTCCAGAGGTCCTTTTTAACCCAAATTGTGCAGATTTAGTGGAATTTTATCCATATTTAATAGTCTGTAATGCAAATTTTCACAGATTGCATGCATTTTATGTTTTTCTATTTTTACAACAGCCATCAGGCATTGTCAGTGGATTTTATCTCTTTGCACAAGTTAAGGTCAGTATTGCATAATTACTCTAATAATGTACATGACCTTAACATAGGTAGGAAGCCCTGACTCATTAAGTTCACCTAATATGGAAATGATGACGCGCTTTCGCAGAATGTGGATTACTTTATCTGATTGATTCTTGTGTTTTCTATCATGGCTTCCTGTATACTGCCAAGAAAATGCCACGTCTTAGTCCTCACTTCAAAGTGTTCAAAGATAAAGAACAATGTTTTCTGAAAGATTTGAAATCTGGAATCTAGGAACTGTGTTTGACAAATTTATTTGGTGCGTGTAATACAACTGCCTCTGATAGTCAATTGGGAATTGTATACTGAGGATAGGAGGTCTTTAATGACTTTTTAAATGAATGAACTTTTCTGAGAATGAAATGTTACTGGGAATTCTGCTACCTTTGACTCAGAGTACAAAGTATGTACTCCAGCATTCCCTCTCTGATTGGATGGGACAGTAAATTACACTGTGTAGGAGGTTTAAAAAAAACCCAACAAAACAACAAAAAACCCAAAACCGTCCTTTGGATTCAAATACTTTTCTCCCCAGGGTGAGCATAAGTGAATAAGAGAGTGTATGAACAATGGTAATTTCCTTATTGCTCAATAGAAACATATTCAAATAGTGACTAGTGAAAGATAAAAACCTGGGTAAAATGATATTGAAAATACCTGTACTGCTTTAATTATGTTTGCATATTCATCTGTAGCCATAACATTTATTCTGCAAACACACATTCTGAAAAATATGTTAAGCAAAACCATGTCTGCATGTCGGGTGCAAAGGTGAAATCCACTGTGGAATCATGAGATGAAATGGTGTAACAGCTCTGTTTTTATTTTTATCTTATTTCTGCTATCTATTTCTCCTTTTTGTCACCTATATTGTATTTTTGGGGCACATCTTAAGGTTGTTTTTGCATTACTATTATTTATATCAGTGTTTATAATAGTATTTCTATAGCAAAAATATTGTAAATAGCAATTCTCTGTTTATACAGTTTTTTTGTAGAGTGAGGGAATTACACAGAGCAATACACAGGTGTTCTTTGTTTTCTTTTGCTGTGGTGTGAAATAGTAGCATGTAAACTTGCAACATTGAGAATGGCACAATATTATAGCAGGGACTCTAAATTGCCATTGTTTTTATTTGCCTGCCTTGAAGGGAGCTATCAAGGGAAGATACCTTAAGAAATTAATTAAACATGATATTGCGTAACTCTAGCTGGAGCACTAAGCCCAATTCAGTGCTTTGACCTAAAAAAAGTGATTCAAACCTGTCCGTGGAACTATCTAAAGCAGGAAGAAAAGTGTTAATTTATTTTGCCTGTAGAAATACTTGAGAAGCAGTTGGGAGAGCAAGGAATGATTGTAATGTGAAAAATAATTTTTCCCAACAGTATCTTCAGGATAGTTTCAAAATTCTTGATACAACTCTCCTAGGCTGTTGTAGTAATATTTTCCTCTATAAAGTAACTTGTGAAGCCTTTATAATTCTAAGATATTACTGTGATTTTTTTGATATATCTGTACTTGATTTTAGCCATTAGTGCAAAACCAGTATATGCTTATTAAGAACATGTATTGTGAGCTAAAATGCCATGGCTGTACTTCTCTAATCTTATTTTAAAATTTGAGTTGTATTAGACACTAACAAAAATCAATGAAGAAGACAAACCAAGACTGACCAGCCAGCTAACCAAGTGAAAAGTCTCTTTGCCACCACAAACCCTGAAAAGCAGAAACAAACAAACATCTGTAGAATTTAATCCGCTAACAGTATTGCTCTCATTGCTGCTCTTCCTTCATTGCCCACAGAGGCATGTGAAGGATAGGATCATTCTCCACACTAGCATCGACCTCCTCAAGGACCAAATATATTCTGCTATGTAAATGTTGCATCAGAAAACATGTGTTTTTTTTAAAAAAAGGGGGAGGAGGGAGAGGATGGAGATGGAGGTGATCTGCTCAGCACAATTCCATTCCGCCTGACAGACTGCAGAATTCACAGAGCAGAAATGGGAAATCAGACTTTTATTAGGGAACATAATGCTGGCTTGAAATATTTAAGATCTTCAGAGGTGACAGAGAATCAGCTTATGAAACCTGAAATTGTATTCCATTTTGGTATGGTTTGCTTTACGCTCCTTTCTCTCCTTTTGCTGGCATAGTCAGCAGACTTTTTTTTCCTAACTGAAAAGTAGACATCTCGGGCAAATGCTGACCTTATGAATGCTGAAAAGGGCATCTCTGTTCCATAAGTTTACGTTGGAATCATGGAAGTGCAGTGCAACAGGAATGAAACATGAGAGCAGTTGCAAAGTGAGGTTTTTTGAGTTGTTTGTGTTGGGTTTTTTCTTGTGAAAATATGACTTTCTGGGAGTAAAGTTCCTGTTACAAGAAAACAGGAGTAGGATAAAAAAATGGTTTGCATGTACTCAGAGCATTCAACCTCCTAATATACTGTTCTGGCAAATGATATTGAATATCACCCATAGCCAGAGAAAGAAAAAATGAGGAGGGATTGAAGAGAGCATCACAGGATTTCACATCTCATTCAGGATATCTTCCTTCTGCATTTTCAACTGTATGCTAAGTGAATCTTTCAAAGGACTACCATTTCACTCACATCATTTCTGCACCCTTCATAGATGGAACTAGTGAAGTAGGGTGACACTTCAGATCAAAATGAAGTAAACTTATCAGAACTGAGTGACCAAGAGTTTGATGAGTGCTGTCAAGACACACAGTAGTAGTATGGCACAGAAGAAATCTCATCTTTACCTAATCTTTCCACTTCCTCTGCATTGGTTTTGAGTGTGCAGAGGCAAGAAAGTAGTGATATGCATGGATGAGATAGTACTTCCAGTCAACTTTATTTTCATTGATCTTTGGGTGAAAAGAAGTTCCTATGTATTCTGAGATACAAGGACACAAGTGACAATTCTGTTGATCATAGATCATCTTTTAAGAAGATGTTGAATAAAAAAATGAAAACATTTATGTGTCCTTTATTAGGTATTCTGAATAATAAGCTGTTCTTGCACTGGATCTAGAGTTTGTGAGACTGCAGAAATTGCATAGTTAATTGTTCTGCTGATTTTTTTTATATAATATTTTCTCATATTTTAACTGAATTTCCTATATGGTTTCTAGAGATATGCATGAAAACTTTCTTCTCTGTTTGTCTACAGGTGCTGTTCTTATGTGGGTCGAAGGGGAAATGGTCCTCAGGCTATATCTATTGGCAAGAACTGTGATAAATTTGGTATAGTTGTCCATGAGTTGGGTCATGTAATAGGATTTTGGCATGAACACACACGACCAGACCGTGATGACCATGTCACCATCATTAGAGAAAACATCCAGCCTGGTGAGATATTGTGATAAGTATTTTGGAGAAAAAAAAAAAAAAGTCTGCTTATTTTTAGTGTTTCCTTCACCTGCTCAGCTCTCTTAAAACTGAACTCTGAATAGCAGAAATGAACTGAATACCAGAAATGAGCATTTATGCCTGCTGTTCCTCTTAGCTAGATTGATCTCAAGCTGATTCACAAACAAAATTCTACAACTAAAAGATACTTTACATCTCTAAAAGATGCTTTACATCTCTTAATACACTGATTAGGACAAAGAATTTCTAGTCTGGAATTATGAACTAAGTATAATTTTTTTTGTTCCTCTTCTGCTTTTGTTAATTTGCAACAGCTGACTCTTGAAAATGTGACTTCATAGGGTTTGTATTACATGGGGGCTCAGGGCGTAGCCTTTGCTGAAGCAAAGTCTCTTTAGTATCCAGTCTAATGGATCTACAATGAGGAAGGTTCTTCCAGAGCCTTTGCTGTGAAAACGATTACATTCTGGAGTTAAGAACCCAGCTGGCAAACTTTATGGATTCTACATGAAGTGCAACATAATGTGTGCAGCCTGTATGTGGTTTAGGTGAATGAAAACAGTCTTTCTAAATGCCAAATACAAGAATTTGATGTGTGTTTCTGAAGACATGTCTGCCCTCTTGGTTAATAAAATGAAACTGTTACTCCCAAATAGCTAAGATTTATGAATGGCAGTGAGTGATTAGGTTAGGATCTTTGCTGTTTTTCTTTTCCTGTTTGGTTTTTATCTTCAGGAAAAAAAAATATTAACAAAACTTTAAATATCAATCATTCATAGGTCAGGAATACAACTTTTTGAAGATGGAGCCTGGAGAGGTGAACTCCCTTGGGGAACCATACGACTTTGACAGCATTATGCACTATGCCAGGAACACCTTCTCAAGGTTGGAGTCTCAGGTTATACCTTTTGACTTTTAATTCTATTTCTCTCTGTGAATGCTAAGAACTATGCCTTTTCAAGTGTTCTGAAATTGCTTAAAATATCCCTTGTGATGTAGTATTCTTACAGCAGTCAAAGCACAGCTTGTTTACTTTAAGTCAGAATAATTTAATTATATTTTTAAACATGTTCCATTTCTGTTCAGTTTCAAAGCAGCCTTTTGATGTTTCTTCAGTTCTTCAGATTTTAAGACAAGATACTCTGGAAACATCATTTCATATAATACTCTCTTTTTGTCTCCACAAAAATCTGAATTTAGAAAAAACAAATGAGTGAAAAGTTACACATAAAATTCATAATCATGATCTGTTGTCTTAAAGAGAAATCTTTGATGCATAATGCCTGAGTAACTATGGGTTATACAGGTAGAACGTGTTGTGATACTGGGACATCTACCATGCAAGCCACAGCCTTTGCTAAGGACTGCAGTCAACCATTTACAACAGAGTCTGCAGCCTCTTCTCTAATGTTTGTACAGATTGTTACTGTCATCAAAACCCATGCGATAAGGAGATCTGCTGGTTTTGCTCTGGCCTGTTGCAGGCTGATCCATTCCCAACTCCATAGTAACTTATGTGAGGCTCACTCTGAGACTCTGCATGGTTGTGAGGAGCTGTACAATGAGCTATTCCCATAGACTAGCTTAACTCAGGAGAAAAAGTGAAGGAGTCTTTCACCCAGTTTCCTCTTATGTTTCATACAAAGTCACAGTTCAGCTAATTACTCTTTAAAAATATCAGAGTAATGTAAATTGAAATGAACCTCAAAAAAACTCCAACAAACGTTAGCTTGATAAGTTATGTGCTTAGCTTTTTTTTTTGGTCCCATTCATGCATTTTAAGGCAAAAATAATAGACAATCTGAGACTCTGAAATAAACTGAAAACTACTAGAAACCTCACCAGCCTTTGCATATTTCTTAGCTTATTCTCCACAATATAAATGATATTGTTAAAAAAATATCCTACCAAAGGATGTATTCAGCATACATATAATTCATTCCTGGAAGAGCATGGGAATGAGCCACATGAGGTAGGTGTTAGTCACGTTGCTTAATCCAGTTACAGATACCATAAGGAAGAGATTATAAAAACCTATATAAAATAGAGTTATTTAACAAGCTGGAACCCCCCCAGAGTCCTAGGGCAATGACAACATCAAGATAATTTGATTTGTGGACCCTGATCTCACCACTTTCCAAGCTGGCAAAAAAATGATAGTGCCATGAGTAGGCATGCCCTGCCTCAAGGTACAAGAGGTTGTTACTTCATACTGTTTAAAAACAGCCAGCAAACCCTTGAGGTCGTGTATTGATTTGCACTGATTTATCTTGAAATCATGAGTCATGCTCAGTGTGACATATTGCCAGCTGTTTGTTGTTAGACTTTACTCACCTGAATAAGTAGTAGAAATCACAAACATCATAAAAGTTCTAGTCACACACAATGGTGTTGTTCATGCTATATTAGAACTGTTACAGGTTTTTCCCTTATTAAACTGCTAAGGCATTTAAGAGAGGATTGTTTTCACATTTTTCAAAATATGAATAGTTTCAGGTCATACTAAAAATCAGTGCAAAATAAAATTATAATTTATAGATGCAAACACTTTTTGTAATAATAGTGTACCTTATTTCTAAAAACTGAATAATGCCATAAATACTTTATTTCATTGTTTAGATTAGGGTAACATCCTGAGATAATTCTTTTTTTTTGCAAAATTTCTGTGATATCACAAGAAATCTGACTGGATAAAGAGAGCGGTATGTACCTGCAATACTAAAAATAGTTTATTTGTCATAATTTAAAAACCAATCTGTATTTAAAAACAGTATTCCTAACTACAAAGATCCTCACTGTTCATTCATTTTTAGACCTATGTTATGCCTGAAAATACCAGTTTTACTTTTCAATAAAAGCTCTGCAAGTATGCAAGAAAGTATCCAGAAAATGAAAGAACAAGAGAATATGGAAACATATTCACCTGCTAACTTCCATTTTATGGGATTTGAGGGATTTTTAAATTCCATAACACAAAAATAGAACTTAGTTTTGCACCTTACTCTTTTAAAATTTGTTTGAGAATATCAAAATATTTCAGATCAGATTTAAAATTTGGGAAATTTAGAATAAAACTGCACATTTGGAAGAAGAATGCTTCTCTATCAGACCGAGTCACTTAGGGTAAATGTTACTAAAATCACACATGGTAAGTTGAGATATTTTATTGTAAAGCAAGCAGAGGCTGGGAAGTAAGCATTTATGTTTCAAAAGCAGCAGTGGCTACAGTAGAGTCAGATCTGTTATAACTCCTGACAAGAAGAATGATTGGCAAGTGTGCCTGACTTTACCTGCTTTACATGTCAGACAGTCAGACTTGAAGACTTCCTTTAAAAACTTTGTTAGAAATAGGAACTTTGTGATTAAGAATTTTGTGATAGGGCCTGTTTTATACATTTTTATTTGATTTTTTTTTTCAATATAGCAAGAGCTTAACAGCAGTGCCTTTTTCCTGTGTAGTCTTAATAGTAGTAAGAGATTTCCCTCCTGTTGTCTAACAGAAATATAAAAGCTGATTTGTTAATTGATGTACTGAAAAAAGATTCTTTTTTGATAACTTTGCATAAAGCTTGCCAACTTGAGGAATTTTTATGACATGTTTTCTATATTTAAAGTTCTGCATTTTACCCTCTTATTTATGCCAAATGTAAAATCTAGATTTACAAAATAGCATTATACATTCATAAAACTCGGACAGTTTTATGACGGAAACCTGATAGGGGGTTTTGGGGTCTATTTTTTATTTTTATTTTTTTTAGGGGCATGTTTCTGGATACCATTCTCCCTTCCCGTGATGATAATGGTATACGACCTGCCATTGGCCAGCGTACTCGTCTAAGTAAAGGAGATATTGCACAGGCAAGAAAGCTGTATAGATGTCCAGGTATTGCACCACAAAAAAATTAAAACCACATTCTAGCGACTGTTTGACTTGTTGTTCAGAAGGAATGATACGTTTTTTGAGTCAGCTGCTCAGTAGTCTGTTTCCATGTTGGCAACTGACATAGTTCAAGAACTGAATCATAAAAAAATCTTATAGGTAAGGTCTCTGGAATGCAAAGCACTTAAGGAGAGATAAACTGTGTGAAAGAACACTTAGTTCCATGATGTTCGAGTCTTTGTTTTCCTTAGCCGTTCAATTACTAGGGAAAAAAAATAAAAAAAAGATAGTTGTTTAATACCATTTCTGGTTTGCATATTGACTGGAGCCCTTTTTTATTTGAATTCAAGCAGAATGCAGAAGCAGCAAATTAAATTCTTGCAATCAGCTCTGAACACATTGAATTTTCTGAAAATTTTATAAATAACGAGCCAAGACAACTAAGTTGTAAACATTTTTGTGGATGAACTGCTTAGATCTTATTACAAAATTTCTACAGTTTTAACAGATATATTTAGTATTTGAGTATATTTTGCCTAATTCTAGCATCCTATAATTTCAATACAATAATTTTTTATTTCAAAATAGTGTTGGGGTAGACTTGCTGTCTGTCTCGTAGACATCAGTGGCAAGTCTGGAGTAACCCAGTCAACCCTATGGTTCTCATTGTTTTCTAGTGCTAGTTCTTTGCGAAGTGCTGGCAGAGTAGTGGAAATGTCAAAGCAAAAAGCTTTACTTTCCTTGCTCTAGTTATAGCTGATACAAGTTTCAACCTTTGGTGTCAACCAAAGCAGTTCAGAAGTGCCATCTCTCAGTCAGAATTTGCCAGCAAAGTCGTACCAGCTCTGTGCCATATAGGTTTTACAGCCCTTTTGCTCCTCATGGGAATTAATGAAGTCTCAGTAATTTTTAAGTCAGATGTAAGGCTACTTTTTACCACCTGATTAAGAGAGAAGGACTAAAAAGAGGGATCAGGACTGAAATGATGGAGCTGCTTCAAATTTATATCAGTAGCAGTGGGATCTGTTGAAGATCTGGAGCATCTGATGTGCATTTGATGTACACTGTGCAGCTGAAATAGGATTTTCCTTTGTGCTGTAAGTACACTGAATCATAATTTTCTATATACTGAGAACATTCACCGTGCTTCTGGGCCTACCAGAGGAGAAACCACTTTAACATGTTTTCTTAAACGACTGTTCCTTTTTGAATAGTTTTTACTCTTTCCTTTTGATACAGAAAGTACTTGAATAATGGTGTTCTTGGCAGCATTATTTCTAATAAGAATATACAGAGATCAATAATTTGATAAGCATGGAGTGTACATGTGTATTTTGATACAAGACAAATTTTGGAGACAAAAATAGTCTATAGAATCAAAACCGCTGTGAAAGTAGCTAGTCTCTTATGATAACATTGACTTAAGAAAGAAAAAATAAGTAAATTACAGGCTAGGATGTTTAGTGTGTGTAACACTCTAACATGCACTTTCAGTCAAATGAAATAGACGTGATGTGCTTTTTGAGCTAATGTTCAGATAGTTGTTCAGAGAAAATGTCCTTTCTATATAATTCATGAAAATGTGTAATGATGAGTTATCATTTCTATCAATGTCTTGAAAGTCTTGTGGAAGTTAGTTTCACAGTATTGAACCATGGTTGTTCAGCAGCAGCGTGCATTTTAAAAGTAAGCTATTTTTTACAGCACTGGTGAAGACAGGTCAGAAGGATGGTAAAAACAAATGGTGGCTGAAGAATCATTCTCCTTTTCTGGTGCTTTGTTTCAGCAAACTTTGAGATAAAAGATGGTGGTTTTCTAGCCTTACTTAGAAGAGTCAGTCCATAAAACAAAGTGAATTTTGAGATTGAAAAAGGGAGAAGGTTTTCCTACAAAATTTAATAGCATAGTATTTAATGTGCTGTTTTTTTCAGTTAATATTTTTAATAAAAGCTGCAAAACTGAGTAACGCAACAAAAACTTAAACGTTCAATAAAAAAAAAGCAGGTCTCTGAAAGTTGCACAGTGCTTGTGATCTAATAAATTTTCCAGCAAATAGTGAGACTGAAAATTCAGACATTAAGCTTTTGGTTTTATGAAGAGAATCATGTGATCATCGTAGTATATGGCAATAAAGTCTCTGACACTGTGTTGGTTTTGGAGGTGTACTGTATTTCCTATTTCAGACAAAAGATGTTAATCCTGATGTCTGCTTATGATAAAATCGCAGTGAATATTTCAAACATCAATAACATCTGTGTTGTTTCATGTGATCATTTGTGTTGCCTTAAATGTAGTACAATGAAAATTCAGACAACACTAACTTAAATAAATCAATATTTTCCAGAGATGCATACTTCTTTGACAAAGGATTTTTTGGTATTGTATGTGTTTCATTTGGAGTTCTGGTTGTTCTTGTAAGCAGCTTCTGGTCCAAGAAACCTGCTGCACTTTCTAAAGGCCCGTGAACATGAAGTTGAGCTCAGGGTTTCTGGAGAATGACTGATCCTCACAACAGTGAGGAAGCTGAACTTTCTGGGTTGTTTTAACTAGTCGGGTTATTCAGAGTCATTATTCAGGAAAAGGCTTAGTGACTGAGAAATAGTTTTGAGCGTGGTGAAGCCACGATGTGAGATTTGATAACCTGTCATTTATCAGCTGAGTAAGTGCCAGGACTCAACAGCAATTTTGACTTGTTTTTAAGTTTTTGTTAGGATTTTTTTTCAAAGGAAAACAATTGCTGATAGGGATCGGTAAAACTTTAATACTGAGTTACATGATAGAATAATGCGAAAACAAGCAAATAAATTGAAGATCTTTCCACTGCAATCCTATTTTGAACTTTGTTGGAGTGTCTTGGCATTTGAGAATAGATCTTGAACTTCAAGGCTGGATGTATCACAACGTTTTACAGACTGTCTAATAGAACGATAGAATATGTTTTCTTCTGGTGTAGCTACTAAAATTCCAACATAGGTCTACCTTTATAGCTTTTTATAAAAATCATAGCTGATTTGAAATGTGCACGTGGTTTTATAGGAGCAAGAGAGTAAGAATGGGAAATGATGGAGAAGGATACTGTTAGGCAGAAAGAGAGGACAAGAAATAAGCTGGTAGAGTGGGACTGAATAACAGATAGGAAAGGAGGCTCAAACTGGCAGGAGAAGGCTGTTCAGAGGACAAGAGGGTGGATGGAAGAAGTTCAGCAAATTTCCAAATTGTCAGGGTCTGTGACAGTATGTGTGGAAGAGAGCAGATGAAGGATACCTAGCCTGGCTCTTTTTTTGTGCTGTTCTCACTGTTCTCAGGCTTACCATCCTCCCATCTCTATTAGATTAGAAAAGAATGTTCACCTTCAAAAGTCAAACTTTTTTGCTACATAAGGAGGATTAAGGTTTTTAGATTAAGACCATTTCCCTATAACTTTAAAGGGGAATCAAGTAAACAGTAAGACACCGAGTTGTAGTAAGTTTTTGGTTTTAACAAATACGTTATCAGCACTAGATATTTTTAGGGCTCTGTGGAAACTATATATGCCATATATATATGGTTGTACAAACTTGGGTCTAAGTAAAAGGTATTAAAGATCTTAATTTTCTTTGGAAAAGGGTAAGCTTAAATTAGCCATGTGTGACAGTATGTATTTGCTAGTGCTATGGACAACGGAATGAGAGTTGGTTCCTTAAGTGTCCTGGAGGATCTGGGCATTGTCATTTGCAGATTTCACTATAATCCTTAATGGAACTTGACCATGTGCCTAGGCCAGCCCAGAGAGGTGTTATGCACAGGCTGCGTAATTAAACACTGCTGCGGAGTTCACTGGTAGAAATTGCCTTGTGTAAGCATATAATCTACCTGCTGCCTGCACCCATTGCTAATCTTTACAAGGAGAAGCAAAAATAGCTTCCCTTTCCTTACCGCAGAAAGGAAAGGCTTATCAGAAGTTTAACCTTCTGAAGCTGTAAAACAGACAGGCTGTTTTTTTTCTTGGAGTGTGTGTGTGGAGAGAGCTAAAGTGGCATTTCTGCAAGTGGTCTAGCTTAGTCAAACTGATATAATCTAAATATCTATATCTAGAAACTAGATTTTTCTGTATCTAGAAAACATTGGCAATGTTAATGATTTGCAATGGAATCAAAATGTACAAATGCTTTATAAAGCAGAGGTGTTTAAGATTGAAGTAATTAATTTCTTCTGATGTGAAACATATTAAGATTAGTTCTTAAGAAATTTAAATAAGTGGCCCTTACCACTCATTTTACTTCCACATTTCTTTCCTAAAGTGGTCTCCATTACTAATGGACTGTCACACGATTAAATGTTTATCATATACTGTTTTGTAAGTCTAATCGTGAATACTGTTGTCACAGCCCAATTACAGAGAAAGCCCTTACATTCTCTAGTGATAGAATTTTTGATTTCTGTTGATCCATTGCAAAGGAAATTGCTTTTGAACAAGAAATGCCTAAATATCCCTCTGTCTACAAAGTCTCTGGAAGCCAGCCTGGAACTCAGATCCCATAGATAATAAATTCAGCTATTGATTGGTATAAGCTGTTCTTGTTATTGTTCCCTTGAGCAACCAGGAATTTTAAATTAAATGGTAAATATGGCAAAAAACGTAAAGTCCAAACATATTTTATAAATTCTAATCATGTTAATTCTTAGTAGAAGTCATCTAATTACTAATTTTCTTATGCTTCCCTTAAATTCAGAAATATTTATGAAAATTTTTATTTGATAGAGAGCTCCCAGGCATTTAATATGGTTGTAAGTTAAATTGTGGGATTAACCAGCTTTATTCTAGAATTCCTAGAAAAAGAAAATGTTCCATGGCAGCTTTTGCAACTTAAAATTCATAGTTTTAAGGCTATATACAACTTCTATATATGGAGCATGGATTGTTATTAACATTCTGGAGAAAATAATCCTGCACCCTGTATATGAGAAAAATTGTTAAATGTTTCCAAAATGATAAAGCTATTATGCCTAAATCATTGATGCGTTTACTTTTATAACGGGGTAGTTTAGGGACTTTAATAGAGTAAGGGGTATTATGACACCTCCTCTTACTAATACCAGGACTGCATTTGAACTGACATCTTGCATGTCCTAGGTGCTTCATAGCATTTTGTTTGCTTACATACTTCACATGATGTGAGTATGTGCATTGCATGACTTTGTAATCAATACTTGTGAGTTGAAGATACAGTTAATTGAAAAAATGCAGTGTGAGAAGAAAAGATTGGACAAATGGCGTTCTCCATCACATGAGTATGTCATTTGCACAAGACTCAGTTAACTGTAGTATTGGTGAAATAGTTATAGCTAGAGCAAACAGAAGATGTACTGAAGCTCGAAATATTGTTGTATGGCTCGCAAGAGTACACTGATGCAGCGTAGTCTCAATGAAGCCAAGCATGAGGGGCTTCAAAAGTGTTGAGCACAATATTTGGATCCTCACGGATCTGAGTCGTCTGTGCATCTCCTGCAAAGGGTGTCTTCTCTTTGGGCTCTGCTTTCCTCCACTCCTGTACAAGACTATGATTTTACGCTTGGCCTTCTATCAGGCGCTTTACATATGCACTGTAAGCTACAATACAATTTACTAGTGTTGGAGGATCCCGGTACAGTGCTCTGCAATTTATTTAAGTTTGCATTCATTGCTGTGTTAAAAATAAATTGTGGTTAATTATGGATATAGTCTTTTCACTGAAAAAGCTTTGTACAGAAATAATTATTTAGCACTGAATACCTTTTGTATAGGTGTCATTTGCTAAAAATAAACCCACATTTTTTGAATGGAGGAAAATAATTTTTTTCGTTTCATTCCTGAAGGACATGGTGACAGCGACTTTAATCATTACATTTTTGGGGGGACTGCACAGATCTTTCTTTTCTCTCCTCATCACAATAACCATTTCAGTGTCAGAGAGCATATTTAATGCCTTGAGTGTAGCTTATGTCTGATATTACAGTTGTCAGATTACATTTTAGACGCGTTTTAACAAGACAGACTTTACAGCTGTGTTGTTGATCTTTGTCATAAACAATCCCTTCCTTTGTCCCCTTTTATTTAAAGATTTTCCAGATCATTTATAATTCATTGAGATTTTGATGATACAGTAGTTCACCTGCTGGCAGTGGTAGTGCTGTAATTTGAAAGCACAGCAGATCTGATTACACTGTCAGTCATGGAATAATATTCTCAAATTCACATCTTATATCACATCTACAAAATCAGTGAGTGAAACAACTTGATTAAGGTCAAAAAAGGTGACTGATGTGTGACACCCTACCAGAATCAGTTTTAGTGGTGGAGAATGGCTGGAGCTTCCAGTGCTAGTCTGCTAATGTGAAGGGGAATTATTAACCGGTCCACCAGCAGCAAGTAGCATGATTGACAGGTGAGATACGGGTGCTAAGAGCTTCTATACTAAAGAATATAAAAGCCTTTGGTATTTTAGGACTCTACATTTGCTTTGCTTTATTACTCATATCTCTACAAATCACTGTCGCAAGAGATTTTTTGAATATAGGATTTAGGTTTCTATACCAATATAAATGAGTGATTTTAGGTCAGATCAGTCTCTCATGTGGGCAAAGTACCAAATTAAGTGAAACCACTGATGAAATTTCAGTGGTACAAATCATACCATGCAAGCTTTTGTTTTATTTTATTTCTTAAAGGATGTGTCTAAGGGTGTGGCTAACTTTTTTTCCCCCCCCACTAAAGTAAACATATGTATAATTTTGCAGTTCATTGACAGCAATGACATTTTTAGGACTGCTGTAATTTTGGTTATGTCAGCAGACAGCACACAAGTGAAAAATAGTTCATGGAATAAAAACATCCTGTGTAAAATAGAATGAATGTCAGAGTGACTTAAAATCATCGTTTTGAATAAATTGTAAAATAACTAGTCTATTTTCCATTCTGCATCTGCAGTGAGTTAAGTGTATTCTGAGTAGATATTGGAAAGACACATTTTTCTGTTAGACGCATTCAATTTTATAGTTTTACTGTATTTTGTTTCTTTCAGCTTGTGGAGAAACACTGCAGGATTCTTCAGGCAACTTTTCTTCTCCAGGATTTCCAAATGGTTATCCTTCCTACACACACTGCATATGGAGGATCTCTGTGACCCCAGGGGAGAAGGTATTTTAACATTCTCTCAGCTAAACTCAGAGACTATTTTCAAAATGAAATATTGTGTTTCTTTAGCTTTTCATTTAAGTTTAAAGCTTGCATAATAATTGAAAACAACAGTATGCCTTAAAAAATGGGACCATGAACTATGTGCCATTGACTCGACTTTAGTCCATGGCATTAGTACCACATCTATTTGGTAGCTCTCCATGTGAAATGAAGTAATGATTTCGATGTACTACATGTTTGCATCATGAAATCTTTTCAAAAATGGCTTTCCATTCAGTTCGTAGTTTGCTATGAAGGTTGAAGAGATAGTGTAAGCTCCTGGATGGTGTCTTCCCCAGCACAGGCTTGGGCAACCTGACTGAGCTGCGTGGGGTTGATAGCTGGGCTCTGCCTAAGGAAGCACTTAGCATACCGAATGAGATGGTTTTTCTTAGGTGAAAGACTAATAAAATGGGGTAAAGAAAGTGTCATTTTAGGTGTTCCCTGGTATCTTTCTAGCACATATTCTTTTACTTTCTTGGCATCATATTTAGGGGAAAAAGTGGGAAAAAAAGTATTGCCTTGGTGAGAGAAGTTCAGGGAGAAAATAGTGCCGTCCTAGTGAAAGCAAAACCTGTTCTTCTTGTGTTCACTTTCAAAGTATGCTAGCTGAATCTTGTTTTAAATTATTGGCTCAAATATTAGCATACCTCAAAATAAATAAGGATAGAGGGAGCAATGTAAAGTTTCACCTGAGACAAAATGTGCAGGGGAAAAAAAGGAGTTTTGTTACAAGAAGGGGTAGCTGTTATTAAGCAAATGCAGCCTAAAGGCTGAAATATGGTACCAGTACTGGAGAGTCTAAAGAGGAAAACCTAGCATTTTTCTCCAGATACTTCAATCAGTTTTCTCAGTGGTCTTCCAGTCTGTATTGGACATAGTTTTCTCCTGATTGGATTATTTTATTCCATGTTTCTTTCAGGTCAGGGTCCTGGTAGATACCAAGAATATGTGTTCTTGATGTGCTAATAGATCCTGAGGAGCTAAGAGCCTTTGCTATTATGGGGGATGAAAGCGAAGTCGCTTGGAAAGCGTTTGCCCTCCTCTGGGCAAGAGCCAGAGGCAAGAGGAAGAATAAACACATACTGAGCTGGAAGGGTGTGGGTGGCTCTGCAGGTTGGCAAGGAAAAACAAATCAAAACAGATGAATAAGAGAAGATTTGCGCAAAAGATGAAAATTTAATCTAGATAGGTAATTTTATATCCCGACTATTTGTGTTGCTTCTTAGACACTGCTGTGATAACAAAAATGGCTTAGGTTTCTTTCCTATTCCACAGTTAAAAAATTAAAAAATTGCACTGTTTTTCATGAGTTGGAAAATGGTTATGCTTAAGTATTCATAGCGTACTCCAACTTTGTGTAAGCCTATGTGTGGACATCAATGTCATTGTAATATATTTGTAATACCATTATGTCTTGAGATTGTAACCACTGCTGGATCTGTATTATACTGTACAAAAGCTTCATGGGGGAAAGCCCCTGTATTGGTCAGCAATGTAAGAACACCAGCTCCCTTCCCATCCTACCCCCCGCCCCAAATGGGGCAAAAGATTAAACACAATATTTGAACTGAAATTTGACGTGACAAGTTGTGTCTGTAGGGTGCTGTTCTGACCTCTAGCTCTTATAGTCTCCATGTTGTTCAGCAAGAATAGCGTAAATTATATTTGTGCTAATGTCAAAAACATCTGTTTTGTCAGTGCTATTCCAATAGAATATTGTCTATCTTGAGATAAAAGACCCTTTGCAGCAAATACTTGATGTAAATAGCAGAAATGAGGTCTGAATCTGAACTAATGCATATATCATGGTACCTCAGACACGTTATGCTTGATTCCAAATTTTCTCAGTAAAGGATGATAACGTATTGACGTTATAAAGCAAAAATAAAAATATATTTAAATTTTTGTTCCCTTGTTTGCTGCTTTGATCCTGATAGATCTCAGGAATGTTGTGTGGAGGTTAGAGTACATATAAGTACATCACATCATGTTCTGAAATGTCAGTGAGCACTTCAGTCTCCTAAAAATAAACTGAAAAAGCATCAGTCCAGATTGTCTAACGCTTCTCTCTTATTTATTGAGATTTAACATTGTACTGTTTGAACGTAGTTGAGGACTTCTATTCCATCCATGCTGCTTTCCACAGTGGGACGCGCTGGCTACAACATTCCTTTTATTGATAGACATCATAAATTGCCAGCCCAACCTCAAATGTGTGAGTCTTTATTACTACAAGGCAGTTCATTCACCTTTACTTTCTTTCAAGATTTAAGACTACATGGTAAACAACTGTACACACTATATCTATATAGAGAAAAATCTCTGGGGGAGGATGATGTTAGTAATACAGTACGCCCTCTGCCAGGGCGAAACCTGCCTTCTGGTATGTAGAAATTTTGTTGGCATAGGAAGTTGCAACTGTGCCAGTGTTTTTTTTCAAATCCTCCCTTTTGAATAAGTTACGTTACTTTCCAATATTCCTCAATGTTTTACATGAATGATAAATAGGACCGATAAATCCTTGGTTGATAGGGGAAAAAACGCCACCTGAACAAAACTTAGTTAATCCTACCTGGTGTTTGCTATATATTTCATGCTTTCTTATCCCAGGCAGTAGAAGGTATGATACATTCTCTCTGAAGCTGCAGTAGCACAATTGAATCTGCTGTGTAATCAGTAATTCCTTAATTATGCTGACAAATACCCATTGATTGTTTTTCCCATTAAGACTTTCAGTCATCCTGTCCCCTTGAGCAAGCTCTGCCTTGTCTGTAGCTCTATTTAATACTTTGCAGAGTTGCAAATCAGAATCTTAAACATATCTATACTTGTTTGGTTCCTGACCAGAAATCATGCTGTGACAGACTGGGGGTTCTGCCTATGTACAGCTAATGAATTCTGATCAATGCCAAGGATTTGCTGTATCATCAAATACCTTGGCATGTCAGAGTGAGAAAAGGCTGTGAAGGTTATTTCATACAGTTTCAAAGGCAAGGGCCATTGAGGAGGCTCATTAAATTTTAACGGTTTCCATTTAGATAGCAGCACTTTGAGACAATTACATGATCACACCTAAGTGAAAGCATCCTTTTCCCAACTCTATCCTGGCAACTAAGGTTTGGAAAAAGGCAAATTTCCAGACATAAAACAGAGAAATCTGATATTTCAGCTGTGTCGTGAAAAATGGAAAACTTGTGGCTAGACTGATGAGAGACCTCCAGGCTCTGCACAGCTGAGCCGATGGAGGAGGTTTAGGATGTGGCTTCTATAACTTGTTTCCAACAGAGCCAGCTGGATTAGCTTAAGCAGCTGTAGAAGGTGACCTGACCTTAACCCAGCTGTCTGCATGTCGTCTGGGTAGAGAAAAAGGCTCCCTGTCGTGAACCCCTCTGCCTGCACAGCTGGGGTGAGGTAGGCATGGGTGGAAAAGGACAAGGAGACTGCTGAGGGCTGTAGGGTTTTCAAGTGGTATGGATAGATACAGAGATGCTTACCTATTGCCTGTGAAACTCAGGAAATCAGGTAAGGGTTTAGAAGGAATGTGAACTGCAAAGTGGATAAGCTGAGAACAACAATAATTTTGTGGCTGGTGAGGCCTCTTTATTTGAAGGATAGGTTGAAGAAGAAACAGTTTGCAAAGGACAGACGGAATTGCTGTGTGACTGAGAGAATATAGAAGACCTCTCTGTCATCCTCAGTGGTAGATTCAAATAGCACTTGGAAACTTAATAAAAAGGTAACGCAGAGGAAAGCATGTGAATGATTGTACTTTTAGCCAGATCTGCATATTTCTCATAGAGAATAACATGTTAAGTAGGTGGATTTGGAATTCTGATAATATTTGTGCATTTATTTGTTCACTACATGTCCCTGAGGGAGTGCCTGAATAGTAAAGGCAAAACGTCTTGTGGGTTAGACATCTGGAAAACGGTGCACGCAAGGTAGAAGTTTGAGAGGTGTAGCTATAAGCAAAAGTAAAGAGATGAGTTGTGAAGTTCCCTTTCCAGGAAAGAATGGCGTGGGAAGTCTGCATCCAGGAAATAAGAAAGGGAAGTGGAAACAAGAGGTGTTGCAGTTAGACTAAAAGAAGCATGAGCATGAGAATGGATATAGCTACAGTGACCTAGTGGATGTTAGCTGAGAGGCTCGACTAATGCCTTGATGCATGCCACTTTTAAGTAAACAGTGCAGTAGTCTGGAGACTGAATAGTATAGCATTGGAGGATTTATGTTGATTTTCTCAGTAACACTGGGAAGAAAATAGTGTTTCTATTTTGCAAAATAAATTAAAAAAAAAAAAATCATTCTCCACCAAGGCTCTGGTGAAAAACTGGCAAGGGGAAAATGAGAGCCATCCAAAGACAGATATAGCTTAATAGTTGGATTGAAGGTAGAGATTGCCGGGTAGAAATGCAGGTTATAGTGCTTACTCTGCTGAGTGTGTATCCAAAATATGTACTGTGCTTACCTGAATCATTCCAGTTTCCCTCTGCTGTTGGAATTTGTTCTTCTTAACCTGACTAGCCACATTTGAAATGGGAAAGGAGTCTTAAATTCTGTCTCACAGAACTTGCAGAGATATAGTAGATCTAGAATACAATCCTAGGTGTCTCACAGATGGAAGTTCAAATCCTTGGAATTCAACAGTGGACTGTCTGGATGGTTTGCTTACTGGCTTTCACAAAAAAAATACCCACCCAAAAGACACAGGCAACACTTTCCCCTAATGCCTCCTCCACTAATTCCCTTCTTGCTCTAGCTTTAAAAGCATTGATTTGATGTATTTCCTATATGAAAACTCTTAATTGTTCTCATTCACTAAATGATTAAATGGATGAGCATTTCATTATCTTTTTAATTCCATGTTTATGAACACATCTGCTATCTGCGTAATACAAGATATTATTATTTTAAACTATTTTTTTTTCATTAGGACTTAATCTTCTTGTTTTTCAAACTTCGGGGAAAGGGTAATAGTTCAAATATTAGAATATCTATTCCTGCAAATCTCTCAGTATAAGGAACGTATTTTCCTTAAATACGTTCATTTCTACTGTAATTTCTATTGCAACAAAGAGAAGGGGTTGCACAGCAATTGTGACTGCTTTCAAATTAGTCCATTTTCATTTCTGAGCTCAGGAAGGAAGCCTACAATATAATTTGATGGCTATTCATTGCTAAAGGTCTTTATGATTTGGAGTGCCAATGACAGACTGGACATGAGTTAATATCATCTAAATATATTTCTAAAGTATCCAGCTAACATTGGAGAAGACATTCTTTGCATAGAGATCTGAGACTAAATTGTTGCCTCCCTTTGTGACCCTAGTGATAGAGGGAAGGGTCAAAAGATAGAGAGGGCAGACTATATTTGTTGCATCTGCTATGCGAAAAACATTTCAAAGCTGCTTGGAGGATGTTCCCATGGAGAACACAGAGCTAAAGACAGACTGCTTTTTAAGCAACCCTTTTGCAGGTTTTGTGGATGTGGTAGAAGCTTGTGGATGTAAATGTTTGGCTGCAGAACAGGTATCCATTTATTCAGTGCTGTCATGATGGTCCTTGGCATGCTTCGTGTCCCATACCTTCATCCCACAAGGCCATGGCTGCCAGCATAATGTGCCTCACTGTATAGGACTTCTGGCTGTTAGGTTTTATGTGTAGCATTACAGATGTTCTCTGTTTCCCATGACATCATAGTGCTAAAGGTGAAAGCTGAATAGAAAAACCTGTGAGTTTGGTGACCCAACAGTCAGTAGGTTGTCAGCACTGGGTGATAGAGGAAGATACGGCTTTTAAGGTTAAGTAATAAAGTTTCCCATTCTCCATTGAAAAGAAAAGAGATTTTCTTTTAGAATGTAATTGCTCATATAGGTGTACTTAGTTATTTTTTGTGAAAAGTAAGTGAAAGCAAAACCCCAGCTAGCCTTATGTTAAGATGCGTAGTGTTTTGCTATGACAGATTGTCTCTGTTTTACTTTGTTTGAAGAACATTACCGTGACGCTCTACAACCTAACCTACACACTCAAACCACTGAGCTGTATGTTATCTTTAAATTAGCTTCCTCCAATAGATAATAGTTTTTATCTTCTTAAAATTAAGCAGTCTGAAAAAGTTCTGCCATTCTGGTTTAATGTTGTACGATGTTGTCTTTGGAGAGGCATATGGTGCCTTCAGAAGAGATGGGGGTAAACCATCTTGTCTGACTATCTGGTCCCGTTGTTCTCTTTATGGTGTTATATTTCCTCCTTGCAGCTGGGCTAAGGGTAAATTCCTCTCCTTGCAACTGGCACTCACAGCTGCCTCACAGGCTGCCACGGAGATATGTTTTTGCAGTGTGAGGTATTTGCTACTGTGCAGCAGTTCATGTTTGCTTTATAATAGCAGGTTTCGATTCTGAGTTCCTAGGATCAAAGCTAAAAATAAAACCACTTCTATGCTTGTATGTGAATAAAGATTTTTTTGTTAGGTTGAAATATTTATTAATCTACACTTAGGAACTGATTTGGAAAAAGATGAATTCTTTTTCAAATACATCTAAATCCAATGCAAGGGTATGAATTGGTAATGATTTTGTAATACAAAATATGAATGACTTTTAATCTTCTTGTTTGGACTTATCCCTGAAATTGCAGGACATGATGCTAAGACTGTCTCAGTCAGTCAGGATCCAAACTGTAGCTGATGTGTCACCCTGTGATCTAGGATGAATCCTACTACTGTGTTGAAAGTGTATGCTTACGGTAGTGTAGGATTAGTGTTTCTAAACCAAAATGGGATACTGTAATCATCTAGGGTAGTCCTGATACTGTGACTATTTACAGATTTCCTCAGCAAAATCAGGAGTCTCAGTTCAAAAGTTCCAGAAATACACAGAACTCAGATTTCTGTATAAAATCTTCATTATAGTTTCATTAAGAGTCATTAAGGGACCGCTTACCATTTGTTTTAATGATACTGCTTTCAGCATTACTGTCCACCCTTGTCAATATTTAACTTGTCTGAAACTGAATTTTCTTGTCAAAACACTAGAAGGAAACACAAGCCAAAATAAAACAATAGTGGTGATTATATTCAGAATGGAATGGAAGAGGAATCAACAGGAGAATTATCAAACACCATACTTAAAATTCTATTAGCACATTATTTTACTTCATTAGCATTCTCAGATTTTTTTTTTAAATCGGTGAAAATCTCTCTGTAAGCAACTCAATGTGAGTAGTCTGTCTTGAATCTGCTCAAATGTGTAAGATTAAATAAAAAGCTTCTAGCATTCCCAAAAAACTTCTACTTACTATAAGAAATAATTGAGGAGAGGTTAATTAAGTATCTAAGCAATTGGAATCCTGTTATGGGTGACTACTTTGGTTTCGGTTCTGCAGAGTTCGTCTAGTTCTGACTCCCCTGCCATGGGCAGGGGCACCTTCCACTACATCAGGTTGCTCAAAGCCTCATCCAATCAGGCCTTGAACACCTCTAGGGATGGGCATCCATAACTTCTCTGGGTAACCTGTTTCAATGTTCCATCACCCTCAGAGCGAAGCATTTCTTCCTTATATCTAATCTAAATCTCCCCTCTTTCAATTTAAAGCCATTGCCCCTTGTCCTATCACTACATGCCCTTGCAAAAAGTCTCTCTCCAGCTTTCTTGTAGGCCCCCTTTAAGTACTGGAGGGCTGCTTACCAGAGCCTTCTCTTCTCCAGGCTGAACAACCCCAACTCTTTCAGCCTATCTTCATAGGAGAGATGCTCCAGCCCTTTAATTATTAACCACATGTGATTTAATTAAATGTTCTCCTCTTATTGCAGATTGTTTTAAACTTCACCACCATGGACCTTTACAAGAGCAGTCTCTGTTGGTATGACTATATTGAAGTACGAGATGGCTACTGGAGAAAATCACCTCTGCTTGGTATGCAACTGTTGAACACTGCACTCTGCATAGTTACCACGCTCGTTCTGTTCAGTGGACTTGCTTATTGCTGAATCCACAACAAACCTCTTGGTTTCTAGGTGTCTAGAATGTGTCTAAACTTAGAGATGGGAAAAAACTCTAAATGGCCTCAAATAAGTTGTTTATTTGACTTCAAGCCTTCCTTTCATTGCAGCTAGTTGTTGTTCAGCTTCATGTGTAGAAAGATGAATACTACAAAATGTGCAACTTCTTGCTTTGCTTATGGGTATTAAAAGATGAAGTTGTCATAATTTTGTTCACAGAAATGGGGAAATAGTATACAGGCAAATCTGTAGAGTATGTGATGGGAAATCCATAGAGCACATGACGTGCACATGCAGCGTGTTTGAGAGCACTACTGTAGAGTTGTACTTGTTAGCTCGGTTCCTGAACTTTTAAAATTATGAATAGAGGATTACTTCTATTTCTTCTTTACCTATCCTTCCCTGCTCTTGCAGAGAAAAGGCATGGAAAGCAATAATGAATTAAGTCTCAAAGTTGCAACTAATATGCAGTAAGCTGCAGCTATCCTTTTCTTAATTCAGAGGGCTAGTGGGGTGATTTCACATCTCATAATGCCACTGCCCAATCCAGAATCCTGATTTGACATCCCATGATCTTCTCTGATTGAAACGGGGGGTTTTAGACCATAGGAAATATGAGTGTCTCCAACTTCTTGAGTCAGTTTTGTTGTTGTTTTTAGAATGAAAACTAAAACTATTTGTTAGCATCCCAACAGTCACAGTTTAAAAACTGCAAAAAAGAAAGAAAAGGAAGTAGATACAGAGGATAGCTTTTTAACAGTAGTGCCCATTTTCTTGCCCTTAAAAAGAAAACAAAGAAGAAACGATTAAGACCAGATAGTAATTACCCTTCTTTCCTATTCCCTTGTCTATCACCTAGACAAACAGAAATTTCACCCACCCAGACCGAATTTAAGAGGATAATACAGTCTAGGGTCATTTGGATGTTAGTTCTTAAATCTCTTTGGTCCTTAGACACAATGAGCGTTATTACTGTGACCTAGATTATGCTCCTCTCCTAAGATTAGTGCTCACTTTCCCCTTCCAAAATATCCAGGTTTGTATGTATAGAAACAATCAATAACAATAATTTTTCTAGTTAAATCCCTTAAGGTTTTATACTTCGACTTGAAAGCAACTGCAAGGAAAAGCAGTACTGAAAGCTTTGTAATGAAATCTCTGTATTAGGTCCTGATCTGGAGAAACACATGTGCTTAACCATAAGCAGGTGAACAGTCCACAGAGTTGGTTATGCTACTCCTGTTTATAATGTTAAACACTTGTATAAATGTTTGCAGTGTTTGGCGTCAGAGGCGGCAGAAAATGCAGTCACTGGTTGCATGTTTTTAGGCAGGTTTTGTGGTGACAAACTGCCAGAAGTCCTTGCATCCTCCGACAGCAGGATGTGGATCGAGTTCCGCAGTAGCAGCAACTGGGTTGGGAAAGGTTTTGCAGCAATTTATGAAGGTAAGCCTCATATGACATTAAAAATGACTTGATTATGGAGGGAAAATATGAACTGGATACCTTTTGGATATTAAAAAAAAAAGTCAGAAATAAGCTAATATGAAATTGGTATTTTATTACTTAAAAGGAGACAGTATGTGTTAACTTACTAGACAAAACACTGAAACTCTTCTTGTGATCAGATTTCAGATGACCTCTTTTCCAGTGACACCACTGATTATATTTATAAGCATTTTTAATTAGTTATTTAATTAAATAAATGTTCATATTCTTAGTGTGTGGAAGAATTTCTTTGAGTACTTTCTGTTTATTCTTCAGAAAAATCTGATTTAAATTTTCCATATGCTCTGGGATTACTTAATAGATACACTTCCACATACTGAGTATATTAGCAAGTCAACATTCACCTGTTTAAAATAGAGCCTGTTTTCTTAAATATTGAATCTATGGTAGTAAACTCTATGATTTAGTTGATATTCGCAGATCTTTAAATGATTATTATTATTTTAAATGAAAAGTGCATTTACTTTTCATGAAAACATTTTTTATTTATATTAGCTGTTTATTCAAATTCAGTGTAAGTTTGAAATGATAAACTGTAGGTTAAAATGCATAGCTAATTATAAAATATGAGATTTCTGTCTCATTTGTCTCTTTCTAAAGATTAGCAAATATTAAAGAAGAATGTTTATTAAATATATGTCCTAATTTTGGCTGGTATAGAGTTAAATTTTCCTTCTAGTTGCTGGTATAGTGCTGTGTTTTGGTTTAGGATGAGAAGTGTTGATAACACACTGATGTTTTAGCTGTTGCTGAGCAGTGCTTGCACTAAGTCAAGGGCTTTTCACCTTCTTATACTGCCCTGCCTGTGAGGAGGCCAGGGGTGCACAGGAAACTGGGAGGGGACACGGCCAGACAGCTGACCCCGACTGACCAAAGGGATATTCCATGCCATATAATGTCATGCTCAGTATATAAATTAGGGGGAAAGGTAGCTGGGGGACTGCTGCTCGGGAACTGGCTGGGCATCGATTGGTGGGTGGTGAGCAATTGCCTTGTGCATCACTTATTTTGTTGTTGTTATTATTTTCCCTTCCTTTTCTGTCCTATTAAACTGTCTTTATCTCAATCCAGGAATTTTACATTTTTTTTCCGATTCCCTCTCCCATCCCACTGTGGGGGAGAGTGAGTGGATGGCTGTGTGGGGTTTAGCTTCCTGCTAAGTTAAACCACAACAATATATTTCAAAGATGAACAAAAAGTAAAATTCAATTATTTTGGTCTTTTAATTATATTCTGTAAAATGTGTAGATTAGATTATCCATTATTCCTGAACACTGTAGGCACATTTAGACCTATCAGAAATGCTGAATTATATTCGCTGAAATATGTATAATGGTTTAAATGGATTGTTTTTTCAATAATTTATCCTTGGTAGACTTTTAAAGCCTTCTCCAGAATAATCTTATCACTAGTTTTAAAAAGAGGAGCAAAAAATGTCAGTTTGGGCATGGGGAACAGAAAACATTATTGACAATAAGAATTTTATGCTTTTATCAGCTATCTGTGGAGGTGAAATCCACAAAAATGAAGGCCAGATCCAGTCTCCCAATTATCCTGATGACTACAGACCAATGAAGGAATGTGTGTGGAAAATAACAGTGTCAGAAAACTACAATGTAGGATTAACCTTTCAAGCATTTGAGGTAAAGCCTTTTAACTGATCTCAGAAAAGCATCTAGTGGATAAGTGACAGTGACATTTAAGGGAATTCTTATAAACCTGTGAATGAATTTAAGAATTCTCTAGGAAAAATAAGCTCCGGAATCCAATTCTACTCTTCACGAAACCTTCCTTTCTGCAGAAATTTTAAAGAAGATTAAAAGATTTTTGTGTTTTATGTGCTATTTGAATTAGAATGTTTAAAGTACTGACAACAGTTGCAGTTTATGAACACATAATCCAGTTCAGGAAGGCTATTTTAATATTCTGTTAAATAATCGGGATTTTTTTCTCTTTGCTAAATCTTATTGTTAAAAAGAATATCTGTCTGGAAAGAAACCGCTGTGGTTTTTTGCTTTGGTTTTCAGAAGAAAAAAAAAACACAAACCAAACCTACTTAAATTCAGTTTACAGACTTACATTTAGAAGGGGAAGAAAAATAGTCATGGTGAGTCATACTTGCATCTTTAGTGTACATCTCACTGTGATTAACATTGCTAAACAATGATAAACTATTGTGTTAACAAAGAATAATAATATCTCATACATCTTTTCTATGCATACATGATATGCTGGCTTGAATTTTGCAAATAGTTTTAGTAATATGTTTTGAGTTCATTTGTTTAATTTGAATATGCTTCAGCAGTAATGACATGAAGAACACTCTTTTAATACCTAAACTTTTTGGCTTTATGGTGTGCATAGAAATAAACGCAAGTATTGTAAATATAGACAAAATTTCCAACCTGTAATTTTAGTCTTATGGATAGACTCCAGGGATGTGGCACATTTTTACTATGGCTGAAATTAATAATTTCACAGATTCTACTTCTTTTTCACTTCCTGAATTCATGTTGGGTCTAGTGCAAACAAGATCAGCTCTCCCTGTCCAAAGAGTTTTCCAAATGTCATTCAGACTCTGGCTTAAGGTTGCTTAACTTAGTATGTCAGTCTCTCTTTTTGAGCACTATTGAAAATGAACAATGTTTTCAGTAACTTGATATAATTTACTCACTA